ACCCATTGACCTTTCATAAGTATTGGTGGCCATATGGTCTGGACCCCCACTGAGGAAGCAGACTGCAGCCCAAGAAACCTTATGCCCAATGGAATTTTGTACAGTGGGGTCTTGACTTAAGAACGGCTTGAGTTAAGAACATTTTGACTTAAGAACCACTCTCATAGGAAAATACTGACTTGACTTAAGTACCTAGATTTGAGTTAAGAACTGAAAAAAACCCACGTGGGAGGCAGGGAAAGTGCAAAATTTGAACTTTCAGTTAACTGTTGGCCAGTGAAAAGGGTGCCTGTCTGCTTCCTCACTCCTCCCAGCGTTTAGAGAGTGGACTGGGAGACAGTCTTCAGACTGCCTGGTACTGTCCTGCCTGGACTGGATTTTCCCTGCCTTCCCTGAACCTTTCTTGACCTAAGAAAAAAAGAAACAAAATATCCCCCTCTAGTGGTCGAAGGCGGAATAGCAGCTTCCCATTAGTTTCTATGGACGGAAAAGAGCAGATACGGATCAAATGGTTTTCAATGCATTCCTATGGGAAATGCAGATTTGACTTGAGAAGTTTTTGACTTGAGAACCGCCCTCCAATACGGATTAAGTTCTCAAGTCAAGACCCCACTGTAATCTCTAAGATACCTCTAGAAAACCCTAATTTTGGTTTTGTTTTGGTGCATAGATTTTTTTTACTTCTATATCTCAGCTGCATGCTCAAGAATGCAACCAGCACCTTGTTCCTAAGCAGCAATTTGCTGTAAAGATGTATGCAGTGTCCCTTGTACAAACTTAAATCACCAATGGGCTTTATGTGGCCTGTGTGATAATTTTGACATTTAAAACTACATAGAAAAAATTTCCCAGCACTTATCTGTCTTAATAATGTTTGGACCACTGCTCAGAATGGCGCTGGCAAAGGTTTTCCTTCTGTAACAAGCCTAAATAAAGTGCATCAGTAGTTCTCACCAGAAAGGGACAGAAATAAGTGACACGTTTGTTCAAAAACTGGAGAAAATGAGGTCATTGTGTCAAATTTCAGCACCATTTAACTTGCAGCTTTTATCATACCAGTGAGAAATTTGGCATGTTTGTAGATCTTGTCAGATCATGCATACCAAGTTTCAGGCTATTTATTCAAGAGGTGTCATTTCTATATGTAATCGCATTTTGAAGATTACAATAAGTTTTTTTAAAGGGGTCTGTCTTGCAGCTCTTTAATAAATCTATAAAACTGTTATTTATAGTCAGAGTTTCTTTCAAGTGATTTGTGTATCGGCCTTAGGCTGCCTCAGTTTCAGCCATTTTCTCTCCTCTCCACCCTCCCACGCTTTATCTTGCACAAGTGTGTTTGTAACAGTTTATTGCAATGTGCAGTTCAGGTATCATTGACTATTGCACAAGCCGAGCAGCAAACTCCATTCCCTTGTTCTAAAAACATTGACTTACATCTCCCCAAATCAGATTATCCCTTTCCCAGTCTTTTCTGGGCTGGCCTTACCCTTCCTCTCCTAGTATTTTTCACAACCCTTGGGAGTATACGTATGCAGAAGAGGATGGCATTTAGTTTAATGGAGCTTACTGTCCCGTAAGTTTGTACAGGAGTTCATACAGGACTGCCGCCTTGCAGTGATTATACTCCAGAAATACATTAAGAAGACTCAAAATACTCTTCTTTTTTTTACAGGTATAGAAGTCTCTTTGTTTTTTCTTTATCTAGTGTCCAAAATTCTGTAGCAAAACTGAGGATATAAGGGGTGGTAGATGACATGCATCTTTTTCCCAATACAGAACTAACCAGGTCCTCCTGAGCCAAACCTGGCCTCTGGACAAGTGTGCCTTCATTCTAAAATCAGAAACAAGCATAGAAGCATTAGCGGCTTTTATCATAGGATTTGCCAGCAATTCCAAAGCAGTCGAGGCCAGGCTGTTACTGTCTAGCCCCAGCTAAACATAACCCTCTTGTAAAACTAGTTCCAGACTTATACTTCAGTACTGTGAACAAGCAGGCAAGCATCCACTGGATGATTCAGATATGCTCTTGAGGGCGGAAAACCCTGTCTGAGAGCCACAATCTGTAGGAAAGTGATCATGCAACATGTTATGACAGCCAAGGCATTTCTGGCACCATAGAGAATGAGATTATTGTCTTGTGTACATCCTTGACATAACCACACTGTGAATATTGTTATCAGTTCTAGACACCGGATTGCTAGAAATCTATTGGGACACTGCAGGGAGTTCAAAGAAGAACAGGATCAATTATTAGGGACCTGGAGACTGCCTGTCTAGGCGATAAGCCCAAACATGAGAATACTTGTCAGATATCCAAAGAAGGCAAACATAGTAGGATTAACAAAGGGTAGGAACTAGAATATAAACAAATGAACAAATTGAAATTAGATTTTACTTTTTAAGCCACATGGAAGTAAATATATAAATTAGAATAAAACTCAACTAGTATTGAGAATTTTAATGAAAATATGAATGATAGGAGGAAACCAATAGGTTGTTTTGGTAAGTCAAGCTGCTGTCCTGTGCCCACTTATTTGGGACTAAGCCCTTTTGAATTCACAGTCTTATCTCTATGTAGATACCTAAATGATTCCACTCTTATTCATTTAGACTGAGTATCTCAAACAGAGACTGGCTCGTGCACATCTAGCTAAGTGCTTTTCACACAGAGCCTCCAGTTTGTGAAATAATCAAAGGGAAGGCCTTCTATAATTGCTCTAGACCAGTATTCCTCAGCCAGGTTCCTCCAGAGGTGCTGGATATGCTGGCTGAGAGTGAGTGATACTGTATGCCAAAACATCTGGAAGGGACCAGGTTGGGAAAAGCTGCTGTAGGCCATTTGGAGCAGCTGCTGTAGGCCATAGGGAATTTTCCATGGTGGAATATTTTCTCCTTGCTTTTTCTTCTTGCCCTTTCTGGCACATTTTTAAACACTTAAAACTACAAGAGGGATGTACTGAATTCTTTCTCTCCACACCCTCACAAACTGCATTTTAGTTCCAGCAGATTTGTGAATAATTTGTCTATGTGGCACAATTTGGCAACTGGCACTGTATTTCTGGATCCCACACCTTGACATACCGTATGCCCTTCACAAATGGCTAAACCATCTTCAGAGCTAAGCAGTTGCTGTAGTCAAAGAGAGTGTCACTGATTAACTAGAAGCTGAGGAATTGCTGTGTTTCCTGAAACATTCTTTCAAAAAGCAGCTTGGAAGTAGTCTTTTGCCTTTCCTGAATGTGCAGAAAATTATATATCACAGATAACCATTAGAGAATGCCATGGTTATTTTTTTCTTAAAAGTTCAAAATCATAACTTTTCACACAAGTGAGTAAAACTTTTAAGCACATCTCCGTTAAGATTTGATGGGATGGTTGGGGTCAGGGATCAGATCATTGCAGGGAATTAATGAAGCCCACAAGCAGCTAGGTGTTATGTCCCATTAAAACATGTGTAACAATAAATGGTTTGCTCAACTCTTTGATTAACTATTTCTGTTCTTCTCGCTTTTTGTGCTTGATTGTGCTGGAACAATATTTTGCTATTGCATACAGATGAAAGTGCATGTTGAGGGAGGAGGAAGACTCAACTAATGAGTGCAGTCTTAACCAGGCACCTGATTTGTGAGGATTTTGGCCCTTCGATCGGTGTGAACTTGACACCTCTGCCATACCAACATCATAACCATCACCTTGTTTCACTAAAGAATGAATAAACAATGAATAATCTGCTGTTGTCTGCTAATGCAGTAGTCAAGGTCCTGCTGAATATATAGCTGTTTTTAACTTTTCAGTCTTCATGGCATCAATCTGATAGATGTGAAGCGTGCTTATGCCTTCTTGTGATTAAGTAGGTTAAACCAATGTGAGTTCGTGTTGTGACTGATCTTGATAGTCTTCAGTGGGATTGGCTAATTTATTTGCAAATATCTAGCCTCAAGCAGTCTTGGATTGCATCCTTCAATGGTGAAATTCGTTTTGTATTGGCTAAGAGTGTCAATACCTCATCAATACTCCACCTTCTGATTGCTTTAGTCTGGCAGGTATTCTTCATAATTCTTTAAGCAAGCTTCACACCCACACATAGAAACCACCCCAAATAATCCCAGGGACAATAGGCAGACGTGATGAAATGAAGGCAATACTAGTCAACAACTTTGCAATAACTCCTATCTCTGGCCTGCCATCTTAGGTAAGTGTGTTTCAATTTAACAGAGAGCACAACATACAATCAAAAGTGATAAAGTAGGAGCCATGGAGCCTTATGATGTTTTCATAGCTAGATGAAGTACAGTTACATAAGATATTGCCTCCCAAAATGTCTAGGCTCTTTCCTCAGGTTCGTGAGATACATTTTCCCTTCTTAAACCAACATGGAACATTGTGATTTATGTAATTTAAGAGCTGATATCAAGTCTTCTGTGTCTAAAATATTCAGCACAGGATAACAGAGGCACAGATGTCATGTCAGTTTACTCTGATAAGAAAAATATCCTTTATTGCTTAAGTCATTCCCCCCCCCCACTTTCTAAAAATCAGGACGTATATTCTGTAGAGCCATAGAATAAGCAGCCAGTAAAATGGTTTGTTATGTGAAACTGCCAGTGGCCACAATGTGACAAGAAAGGAGCTGGTCTTCCTCCCCAACTCTCCGTCTTTTCCATCTGGAACCTGTGTTAGAGGCGGGCACTGCTGTAGCCACCGCTAAGCACAGGATACAACTTTACTGTGAGAAATGGCTTTCCTCCAGTATTGAAATGTAAAAGGCTTCTTCCTCTCCCGACTCGATCACCTTGCCAAAGCCATCAGTTGTTTCATCGAGAAAACAGCACAAGTAACTGGTATTATAATAAACACAATCTAGAAGAACTGTGGCATGCTCAGAACTTGAAGTTGTTTTTTCCTACCACAGTTTCCCAAATCCCTGGGGGATTCTAGGAGTTGTAATTAACCTGCTCCCCAAAGCAATCAGTATAGTAAGGCAGCATACCTCCATGCAAACAATTCAAGTTCAGTCCCTTACATCTCCAGAAGAAGAAAAAGAAAGACCTGTTAAGTCAATACTTAGATAACTCCCCTTAATACTATAAGTCTTCTCTGGTTCAGACTAACAGTCCTAACCATGTTCCACACCAGTCCAGCTGTTTGATTTAAAGCACCAACACGGTGCAGCTTATTTGACTAGAGAAGTAGAGCTGTTTAGTCCTCCTTACATAGCATTTATCTTATATCTTTTCCCACCCCTACTTGAGACTACTGCAAGCTTAACAGAGGGAAGAGATGCCCTGCCTGCCTTTCACTTGACAGGAAGGGTAATCTGTTTCAAAGAGATGATGCAAGAGTGATCCCCAGTTGTATGGGAGCATGTACACACTTGCACATGCACCACATTTCCTTTGCAGACATTACGCATAATAGGCAAAAGTCCATGGATCAGGGCCAACGCAGTATGCAATCCTAAAAGTGCCTTCAAGAGTCATAGTTTTCCTCCTTTGCCACATAATGTCTGAACAGGGCTTATCTTGTTAAGATTTCTTATGCCTGGGAGTGTCACCATGTTAGATAACCATGGAATCAATCACAGTAGGAGGAACTAATTTTAAAAAATTACAAGTAACTGTTTTCTATAATTCTTCCTTCTTCATGCGATCCTCCTACTTCCTGTTAAGATAACTTTTCAGAAATCTTGAGACACCATTCTTAAAGACCTGTCATTGTTCCACTGGCTTTGGGCTCGTTATGCTTAACTACCTTTTGATGGAGATCCAGTTGCACACGTGTGTTTTCTGTGCTTTTTATGAATAAGACATGAATAAAACTTAAATCCCTATCTGTGATCTCTGCTAAACTACCCAGGGATTTGTCATAATCGTAACTAGGCAACAGTTGTTCTCCGGAACAGTCATGGTAGTGAAAGTTCATATAATCTGTTTCTTTTTTCCTTGCAAATCCTAATTTACAGATGTTGCTAGAAATTGAGGTAGAAGCACTCTTGTTTTAATCTACTTTTCTCCCAGAACTCTACAAGCACAACATGAAAATGGAAGATTATTGCATTAAGGAAGGCTTTGAGGGTGTGTAAGGGACGTGGTGGCACTGTGGGCTAAACCGCAGAAGCCTGTGCTGCAGGGTCAGACGACCAGCAGTCGTAAGATTGAATCCATGCGATGGAGTGAGTGCCCGTCGCTTGTCCCAGCTCCCGCCAACCTAGTGGTTCGAAAGCATGCAAATGCAAGTAGATAAATAGGGACCACCTTGGTAGGAAGGGAACAGTGTTCCGTGTCTAAGTTGCACTGGCCATGTGACCACAGAAGATTGTCTTCGGACAAAACGCTGCCTCTATGGCTTGGAAATGGGGATGAGCTCCGCCCCCTGGAGTCGAACATGACTGGACAAAAATTGTCAAGGGGAACCTTTACCTTTACCTTTGAGGGTGTGACTAGTGGTTATGGTAGTGAGGAAACAGTTTTAAAACAAGCTGGTAACATGTCTGTTGTTTGTCCAATAAACCTATTGCCCATTTGCTCAGATTGGAGGAAATGTAATTGAAGACGGCTTGGGAAAGTTGCTGCAGAGAGAGAGAGAGAGAGAGAGAGGAGAATCTGCCTCCTCCTTCTCTCCAGTCAAAAGCCCAAAAAAGGCATGTGAATTATGGATCCAGGGAAAGGATTTGTGACTGACCTAGTTCTTCCCTTGAGTGATCAGGAAACACCTTGGCATGACAATTGATCTTAACTCAGCATTGCTTCCCATATGCTCTGGCTAATTCTGAAGAGCTCAGAATAATGAGATAAAGTTAATTGTTTTCATCCATAGTTTGAGAGGGACCTTGCCTTTCTAGTGTAAATTAGCTGCATTAAAATTATAATTATGCTTTTTCTTCAGGAATAACTCATTGACCCAGAAGCACAATGTTTCGCTCTTATCTCCCTCATGTTCAGCACTTAAGTCAAGGACCCAATGGGTACAGTGGCACAAAAAATAAAAGAGGTTTTCTTTGATTGGAAGCTTAGTATTACTGCATCCCTAATAGCAGCTGCTTCTGTTGGAACTCAAGGCTATGACTGATGAACTGCCTTCGTCTTAAATGCTAAATCAGTAAATATCAGCTGAGTAAAATACTGTCATGGCTTTCGCTCCTTAAATCACCAGTATCTGTTTTTCCACCACACACAGGATTCTTCTTTAGAGTTAAGTATAATGCCAACAGAAGGCTCTGACTTAAAACCATAACAACAACGTGAAATAATATAATCCTCCTTTTTGTCAGCTAATAAGTGATAAACAACATATATATGATTCCGTTTTTAGACCACTTTTCTGTTTGAGTCATCCTATGCCTCCTTTCCTCCTAAGAGCTGGGTTATTTTCAGTTTTGAAAAATATGGTGTACATTTGCAAGGAATTAAAAGCAAATGTTTCATATTCCACATGCCTTTGCTTCAGTTTAGATACAGCCATGGTTGATAAGAGGATCATTATGAATCCTGCTTTTTCCAAGCTATTTCAGTTATGGATCATCAGTCTAGACACAGTATATTGGGTTGTATGGCCCAGTAAATTGGGCCACTTAGCTGTAGGCCCTGGGGTTGGGAGTTCAATTCACCATCGTAATTCCCACAGAAGAGCCAGCCTGTGTAGCCTGGAGCAAGCAGCACAGTCCCAGAATGCCACCAGAAGAAGGGAATGGTAAACCACTTCTGTGTCCTTAGAAAAACCTCAAAATATTTGCCATGCCACATGCTAACTACCTGAATGAGAGTGCGACCTTGGACATAAACAGATCATATGGTAAGACAATGAGAAATGTATTGGAGGAAAAATTTTAGTTGATTTTTTTCAGTTAGCAGAACATTAAAGACAAAAATAAACAGCGGCCATGTCATTTACAATACCGCTCAAGTAGTTTCTGACCTACAATATGGGGATGAAAGTTAGTGCTGCCATTGAATGCTTGGCCTTGAGTGTCTCAGCAAAGATCCCAGGAGATTCCTTCCTTCTCTTATTCTTCTTTTCCTCATCCCCACCAAGGGATGTGTAATTTACTTAATTTACTCAATAAAAACATTTGTTGAAGAAGGATTACCCCTTGTTAGTAGTTTTTCTGCCTCAGTGGATAGAATATCTGTTTGCTGCCATATGTGTCACATTTAACACCCACTACATCTGGAATACAGATTTGCACAGAGAAAAAAGAGGCAAAGTGCTGAAAAAACAAAATCTACCACCATGTATTGTATATATATAAAGTACAAAATGGGGCTGGAGGACATAGCTCAGGAACTATTCCTAATGCTATTGTGCCCTACCCCACAAAAGTCTTCTGTAATGGCACAGATTTCACACAGGCACTGAGTTGATTGATTGAGATCTGCAGTTACCAAAAATCAAAGAAGAAAAATCAAATGTACACTCACCTTATTGCTTGAAAATTAAAGTGATACAAACAGCAATAATCTGTCTCTGTTCTCTCTAACATGTTTCCTTTGCATAATGGCCAACAGTAACAGAGACAAGGAGTTGCTTCTCAGGACTCCATGACTAGAGTTTCCAGGAGAGTTTAGGCTTTTCGTTGTTAGCTGAACTGTCAATTTCCTTCTGTTTTGAGCTTCCTGGTCCTTCTGTTATGGCATTATTTTTGTTTTCAGTACAGCCACAGTACATGGGTGCTTTAAGAAAACAACAGTTTTTAAATTGTGGAAGCCCTTAAGCCATATTTGGCACTTCACAGATTCCCAGTGTAGTCTGAGGACCACTTCAGGCTTCCATTCTTTGCTTCAGATCGATTAAAAAATGGACAAACCCACCTGCATCTCTCTGGATTCCAAATAATTTAATTTTTGTTGTTATTGTTGTTATAAAATATTGAATTTTATATTTTCCCTTTTGCCCAGCAATGTAGTCATTAATGATATTAATTTTTAGTTTAAAGTTTCCTATTCTCCACTGCCCCTGATTCCATGGCTCTGTAGATGTACCTTTTGACCTGGAGAAGCTTTTGAGAGTCTTGGGACTGAAGGAGCCCCCTTTAATATTCAAAAATTGCCACCTCAGATCTTGCCACCTGGATCAGGACTATGGGGCTTTGTAAGCAGAATAGGAGATGTTCTTGGTCTGTGCCATGAAGTTGCAACCGACATATAGCAGCCCTAACAGGGTTTTCGAATTAAGTGAGATATTTAAAGAGTGATTTTATTAGTTTCACACCCCTGGTGAGTTTCCATGGCTGATCAGGGATTTGAACTCAGGGTCTTAGTTGGTAACTATCCACTACAACACACTGGGTATCTGGAGGGTAGGAAACTTGAAATCAAAGGTTAATGTCTGCCTCTGCTGAGGTTATCAATGATCACTACAAACATTAAGCTCTGCCATGGGATTCCAGGCACGGTGTTATTTTAAAGAGTTTAAAATATGATAATGTTTAAGTTTACCTGAAGAAACAAGAAGCCAGGTTTATCTTTTTAAAACTGGTAACTATAATAGTGACTAATAACTGTTGGAGCCCTGGCTGTACAACAGTGACTCATTACTTTTTTGAATTAAAAAAAAAAATTCAAGCTCTGACCCATTTAATTATTTCACCAAAGTGGAGAGTAAGTGTTTTGCTTTCCAAGATCATCAGCAGAGACTGTTGATAAATGGGTGCATTCATAAACAAAGCAACTTATTTAAATTTCTTATGGGAAACAAAGTATTACGCTATTAGCTGGCTTTAATTAGCTCTGCTTGCTGCCTCTGGTCATGCATATAAAAGTTATTGGTGCAGATAAACAAACAATGGTGTCATCTTGACTCACCTCCTTCCCACTTATTTGAAAGGTTTTACTTGTGAAAGTGATACTCTTAGATCCAGTTCTTCAGGAAAAAGCAGGAAGAAACTGCAGCACAGCAACTTCAGCTTCTGAGGGGGCTTCTTTTAGATCAGGTTCTTTGTGAAATGCCAAGAAGGAAATGAAGAACCATCCACTGGTCAAAAAACAAAACAAAAAACCCCAAAACAAAAACCTCTTCCATTCACAAGATTTCTAAATTCCCAGTTTAGCATGACTACAAAGGGGATCCAATTTTCAAGTTTTTTGTATCTGTTTTCTCATTGGTGAACTCAGGTGAGAACTTAGGTAAAAGGGGAAAAATGAAAAGGTTTCAGTACAGCCACATATTTACTGTGGTTTATGATACAGCTTTTGCTTTATGTATGCTGGAGAATTTAGGAAATGGATGAATCAGGTTTTTACCATGATCATAGCTTCCTAACAAAGAGGAAAAGGATGAATTTGCTCAGGCAGTATTCTTCAGCTTTAAAGGCATACATTTAATTCACTTCTTCAAACAACAACTTTGCTTTATGATTGTGGGATACTGTGCTTCTGTATCTATGATTTGGAAATCCTGGAAATGGCCAGATAATTGCCTCACAATACTGTGCCTGCTTTGTCAAGCAGGAAAAAGGAGGCCAAGCTTTACCTAGCAATGGGCAACCTGAATGTTGACAACAGAAGTGACAGCAGTCAAAATGGTCTATGCAGATACCCTCTCTTCAGGCAAGCCTTCCCTCAGTAACCTGTCTGTGATTTTTAGATAGATTGCCCTGCATTACTGGTTTGATTGGATTTTTAGTACTACAGTACTTGTATTTTCCATTTCTGTGCTTTCCATTTCTCAGTGGCATTTTTTAAAAAAACCTTTTGTATACTTATTGATCTTTGCCTTAATATTGCCTGTTACTGTAATAATGTAAGATGCCTCTTTATTCATTGTTCATAATTTTAAATACAGTATTGTATTTTCATGATGTTAACCACCATTGTATACCCATTGTTTTCAGCTTTAAATATTGTCTTTCATTGTTGTCTACCACCTTGGGCCCTTTTCAAGGAGAAAGGCAGAGTAAAAATATTTTAAATAAGTAAATAATAATTAATTGTGCTCACTGCCATTCACAAAGAGACACCAAGCAAGGGGAAATCTCAGAAGGTGACTCCTTTTTCTCTCTCCATAAGTTAACCACTTCTCACTCAAACAAAAAGTAATCATTCGGTCTGTTCTCAACAAGTATGAAATTCATACTTTTTTGTTAAGAAGCTATGAACATGGTAAATGTCTGAAGAATGAATGATTCATTCATTTCCTGAAAGGACTGTTTTTGTTTCATTTGCAAACAATTTTCTGATTTTAAAACCAACAGCCAGCACAGAAACATACCCCCCCACCAAGCCCAACCCCTAGCTGCAAAACCCCTGTACAGTAAATACAGTGTACTCACCCAGAAGAGGCAGTCTCTCTGTTTTAAAAAAGAAAGTAAAAAAATCCAAAAATAAAAAGCCCCCCCCATACAGTCCGTACAGTACGGTACCAGGCAGTAGGCAGTCTGAAGTCTCTCTCCATATCCACACTCTCTAACTGCTGGGGCGAGCGAGGCAGCAGATAAGCAGTCTCTTCGCTGGCCAACTGAAAGTTTAAATTTCCCACCTTCCCAGTGGGGTTTTTTTTTTCATTCGTAAGTCGAAGTTCCATTTGCAAGCCAAAGCAAAATTTTGCAAACGGAGCTGTTCATAACTCGACATGTTCTTAGGTTGGGACATTCGTAAGTCAAGGCACCACTGTATTAGGAAAGGTAGGATGCAAATCTAATAACAAATAAAACAAATAGCATCTGTTTCACAGAACTGCAAAAGGGTGCTGGCCTAGAAAGCTGTGAAGGTCACATGAGGTTATATAAAGTACAGAATACAGTGCTCTTTTATGCACATTGTGGGCTATAGAAACTGGTACCTCTTAACTATGCCAACCAAATATACTTGAACTGCTGTCATAATGGCTTGAAACTGAAAACATATATTAAATCAGCATTTTTCTGTATCGAAGAAATTGCTTTCTTAAAGTCAAAAACTTTAATAAAAACTACACACACATACAATCATAATCTTTTTTTAATGTGAGAAATTAGATACATAATCTCAGAGTTCACACAAGTCTGAAAACTGCAGGAAGATAACTTATTCTGCGCCTTAGTGGCAAATGTAAGTTCGAATGTCTAGACATGCGAAAAACTAACTGGCTGGATAGCTCAGTGGTTTAATTGTCTGGCTGCAGAGCCGGATGTTGGGAGCTTTACTCTCCACTGTGCCTCCTGCATGTAGAGCCAGCCTATGTGGCCTTGGGTAGGCTGCAAAGTCCCAGGGCACCACCAGAAGAAGGGAATAATAAACCGCTTCTGAATATTCTCTACATGTAATACTCTGAAAAGGTCNTTATTTATTTATACAAAGATTCTAATAGTAATTTAAAGACAAACAAGTTTGGTTTGGCATAAACTTCAAGAAGTGGAAGCAGAAGGCTGAGTTCCCAATGAGGCGAGCCCTATAAGCATGTTCAATTGCATGTAATCACAGAACCCTCTTCATATTGTTCATATCCAGGTACTGTACAGGGATATGTTCAGAAAATGGGAATATTTATTTATACAAAGATTCTAATAGTAATTTAAAGACAAACAAGTTTGGTTTGGCATAAACTTCAAGAAGTGGAAGCAGAAGGCTGAGTTCCCAATGAGGCGAGCCCTATAAGCATGTTCAATTGCATGTAATCACAGAACCCTCTTCATATTGTTCATATCCAGGTACTGTACAGGGATATGTTCAGAAAATGGGAATTGTGTCCTATATCCTGTGCACACAAGTGAATGTCTGAACAAGGCTAAACCACTTGGATAAAACCAGGTCTGCCCCCCCCCATGTTTATATGTACACATGAAACAATGGACATTTCCTAGAAGAAATCAGGAAGGGCTTTAAAGTACAGTAGTGTCATTCCCTTCTTCAGCACAGGGCATCAGCTTGAACAGTATCCAGAGTCCAATATGAATTAAGACTTTAATTTAAAATAAAGCCACTAAGCAGCTTTCAATGCCTGAAAGGCCCCAAGAAACCTTGTATTGTTTTCGCTGTTTTAACTTTCTGTTTTACGGAAATTGATCAGTGCAATTGCCTCCCAAAGCTCTCCAGTTACTAGCAGTTTCCTGTATCTGGAGAGAAATTGCGGTTCATTGCGAGTTAAATCAATCTTTAAGGAGCAATTTAAGACTAAAACTGGAGTTTGCCACTGTTTTTCATCTCCATGGGAAAGGGCCCCATCTCCCAATTTTTCAGCCTATCCATTTTTCCCCCAGACACCTCTCTCTCTGCCTCTCTTTTAACCAGTTAAAAGTTTTAGAGGACAATAAATTTGAGCATTTTACACTGTGCTTTTCATAAGGGCAGTTCAATTTACCTCTCGATTCCTGAGAAAGATGAATGTTGTCACTCTGCATGGCAAAGCCTTGCATTGTCACAACAGAAACGGCTGCATGAGAGCATTTATGGGAAGGCACAAGCTCGGATGTCACCAGAGCATCCAAATATGGATGAGGCATCACTTGGCAACTGCCATCTGTTGAGTGTTTCATGACAGCTGTATCTCCTGACCAGAACTGGTACAGATAATCAGGGGAGGCAGTGCGTAACAGATCCACCCACCCACCCGCTCCGGAAAAAAATTCCATGTTCGCCTTGGCTGTGACTCTAGCTTTAATGGCACTGTAATGATTTTCTAGCAGACACAGTGGTGTTCAGCTTTGATTTAGAGCAAACAATAAAGTACAGCACGGTTTAAAAGCAGCAGCAAGGAACTCCTAATGCAGGGATGGTTAGTCTTGGATGAGTGCTTATGGCTGCTTATGCATTGCCCTGAGAGAGATATTCGTACTAAATGAAAGTTATTTCCCAGTAATACATTGTGTTGATCTCTCTCTCTCTCTCTCTCTCTCTCTCTCTCTGACAAGACTAAAAATAAGCTTTGACAAGAAGTGTCTGTGAATAAGATTGTTGTTATATCTGTAAGTGGCACAGATTATTTCTGTCAGATTTTTTTTTGCCATTTAACCAACGGTAATTTAATTTAATCATCCCACTCTAGTTCTAGTGCAAAAGTGTTCAGCACAACCCAAAAAGGTATGAACAATTGCCCCATATTTTCTCTTTGGAGTGTATCTTTTGGCAGAACAGATCCCTTCACCCCAGCCCCCTATCCTAAATCTACAAAGCTGCCATCTGTCTCCCTTGCTTGTGATGCAGTTTCTCATAAGCTGGAGGCCTTGGGAAAGAGAAGCAGCCTGGTAAGGTCCTGAAATGAGAGGCATAGGTGGTGGAGCGATGGAGAGGTCAAAGTCAAATCTGCTTTGAAGTATTGTAAAAGCTTCCCGCCTACTTCTCTCTCTCTCTCTTTCTCTCCTTTGTAATCACTTGTCTGCCTCTCCACACATATGCTTCCTAGCTGCATGCTGCCACCCCATTGTACGGAAACACAAAAACAAAAGCAAAGGTCTCTCATAAAATGATGAGAGGATCGTCAGTTCACGCTGTTTTCTCCCCTGTCTGCGTTGGATCAATATCTACTGTGAGATACGTAATGTTCAATCTAATAAGAGAGCTGTGCAAAAGTTACTCGAGGGTACATATGGCAAGGTGATGTGAGGTGGCCTATCTTATATGATAGATTCTGAGATACCCTTTCGGGACAGCAACAGTGATAATTACTTAATTTCTTGTTAAATTATTACCATTGTAAGAGACATAGTCAATGCAGCTTTTGGAATCCTTGCCTGTTCCTTTTCAGTTTCAGATTCTCAGGGACCTCTCATCCCCCTCTCCTGGCCCCATATTAGTATACATGGATTGTATGGCCAGTATCAGCTTGTCCATGTCTCGGAAATCCACTTGAGAGAAAGACCTTGTACAGTACTAGCTATCTTGCGGCAAACACCCCCAGCATAAAGACAACTTTCACTAGGAGAGGGCAAGGATTTTCTCGGCTGACAAGAGGCAGTGATTTTAACATGACATTAAGGCTACAAGCTTAGAGCCATTTATCTAGGAATTCTGAATTAATTGGGACGTCCTCCAAAGTAAAACTGTGGAAGAATCCGGGAAATGAAATTGGCTACAATTATTATTTTTTAAT